CTGCCATAGTTGTAATAAAAAGTAGAGTCCTCTTGCCTTTTCCTAGAAATGATTTCAAATACATCTGTCAAATCCTCACCGTTACAGTAAGCGTTGTTGTAAATCAAGGTAAAGCTTATTGAAAAGGTCGCCGCACAATAGGACCCAACGTGATTGCGTAATCAATATTGTGGCGGTTGTTCGTTGCCGTGGATACAGCCCAACAATCACAAAGACACCGATGAAAGTGAAACCTGTTCATTACTCAGATTGAGGATGGGAGAAACTGATCTCAGAAATTATGAGTTATCCCAACTGCAAGCAGAAGTCGAGCAGGAGAGAGAGGTCAAGTAAGTCCAAACATATTTTAAAAACACAACAAAGCAATGTCTTGACTGCTGTCACCATGAATATATCAGACATTGCAGTTGCACGTTGATTAGACTTATTTAGTAACGTTAATCTCCGAATCGTTTAAAGGGAGATGTTAAAGGACTCTGTGTCTGACCTGAGGAGCACACTGGCTGATTTGGAGAAGAGACAGCACAGTGTTGACGGAGAAGGTCTGTATATGAACAAAAATGCAAGAAACATTGACCTACGGTATATACTACTGAGCAAAATTACATTTGACTAGTAATCTAATGAGCAAAAAGAACAAATTCGTACATTTATTAAAGTTGAACCGTACCACTCTCCTCAGAGAACGAGTGGCGAACCAGATATGAGACACAGCTGGAACTGAACGAGCAGCTGGAGAAACAAATCAGTGTCGTTCAAGAGAGACTCGAGACCCTCCGCGGTGACCCCTCAGGTAGCATAAGAAACGCTTCTTTTTCTCTTTTGTTGTTGTTGTTGTTGTTGCTATAGTATAGTATGTTATCTTATAGTATAATATAACCCATAGCCTTTATATTTTGTAATTTATGGTGTTTTCAGGCCTCCCTTATAGTGAGTGTGTTGCTGCAATCAGTTTGCAATAATACAAAGACACACTCGGGGGCACCTGCCAGAAAAATAACGGGACAATTCAGTTGATAACCCTTACGAAAAATAAGTTTATTCAAGTGTGCTATTAGTATACTTCTTTTAAACTAAAAAATAAGAAAGTATACTTTGTCTACTTTTTATGTACTTCTCAGAAATGGGCTTTATGTACTTCTCAGAAATATACTTAAAATGACATTTAAGTATACTTGACTTATACTTAGAAAAAGTCTAAATATATTTTTAGCTATAATTGTGCTCCTAGAATCCGTGTTTTCATTGTTATACTGTAGGGGGCGCTAGTACACATCTTCTGTACAGAATTTCCAAAAAACAAAAGTGAAGAAGAAACCGAAACAACAGATGCTTCCACATGTGTTCTAACACGATCATCAGACATAAAGCAGTATCAAAACTGTGTAACGTTATGGAATAAAATGTCGACCAATGAAGAGGTAATAATGACTGTCAAGCTTTGGGGTGTTGATCGACTTTATCTACGTACTTAAAATATACTTGAACTTTACTTAAGTATACTTACTAAAATAAACTTGAAGTATACTACTTTTTTGGTAAGGGAAGCTTTATATGGTCTGGAAAAAAAGTATTTTGGGCTAGGTCAGGGGTAGGCAAGTTCGGTCCTAGAGAGCCGCAGTCCT